CCTGCTGTAGTTGAAGATGTCCCTGCTCACTGCACGGATGTTACACTAGATGAACTTTGAAGGTCCCTTCCAACCCAAACAGTGCTATAATTCTATGATCAAACTTTGCAAGTGCAAGCACTAGCAATAGAATTGCTTTGAATTGTTAATGAAGTCAGTAAAGTCTGCTCTTGATGAAGTTTTCTACCTGTGTCTGGCTATTCAATGCATGATACAGCTACTACTTCCAGGTTTACTCAGGTAAGCTGATATTCATCTGCCTCATAAATACTCTTTTTTTTTTTTTTACATAACCTAAGATCTTAGCCTTACTTAAAGGTAAATGAGTCTCAGAAATTAAGAATTTCTTGTTTTCACTCTGTGAACTTTTAATATGTTTTTAACACCACATTTTCACACATGCCATTCTTTTCTATATCGAATGCATGTACAGCATTTCTATATCCTGACAGGATTCACGAGTTCATGAAAGGCAGGTTGTGCTTGAACAACATGATCTCCTATGACCAGGTTACCCTCCTAGTGGATGAGGGAAAGGCTGTGGATGTTGTCTACCTGGATTTTAGTAAAGCCTTTGACACTGTCTCCCACAGTGTTCTCCTGGAGAAGCTCCAGCTCATGGCTTAGACAGGTGTGCTCTTTGATGGGTAAAAAAACTGGCTGGACAGCCGAGCCCAGAGAGTTGTGGTGAATGGAGTTAAATCCAATTGGCGACCAGTCACACTCAGGGCTCAGTTTTGGGGCTAGTCTTGTTTAATATCTTCATCGATGATCTTCATGAGGGGATCGAGTGCTCCCTCAGTAAGTTTCCAGACGACACCAAGTTGGGTGGGAGTGTTGATCTGCTGGAGGATAGGAAGGCTTTGCAGAGGGATCTGGACAGGCTGGATCGATGGGCTGAGGTCAATTGTATGAAGTTCAACAAGGCCAAGTCCCGTGTCCTGCTTTTCAGTCCAACAACCCCATGCAACACTACAGGCTTGGGGAGGAGTGCCTGGAGAGCTGCCCAGCGGAAAGGGACCTGGGGGTGCTGGTCAACAGCCAGCTGAACGTGAGCTGGCAGTGTGCTCAGGTGGCCAAAAAGGCCAACAGCATCGTGGCCTGCATCGCAAATAGTGTGGTCAAGTGATCGTGCCCCTGTACTTGGCACTGGTGAGGCCACACCTTGAATACTGTGTTGAGTTTTGTGCCACTCACTACAGAAAGGACATTGAGTTGCTGGGGTGTGTCCAGAGAAGGGCAACAAAGCTGGTGAGGGCTCTGGAGAAGTCTTATGAGGAGCATCTGAAGGAACTGGGGTTGTTCAGTGTGGAGGAGGCCGACGGGAGACCTTATCACTTTCTACAACTACCTGAAAGGTGGTTGTAGCAAGGTGGGTGTTGGTCTCTTCACCCAAGTAACTAGCAATAGAACGAGATGAAATGGCCTCAAGTTGCGCCAGGGGAGGTTTAGGATGGTTGTTAGAGTGGTTAAACATTGGAACAGGCTGCCCAGGGAGGTGGTGGTGTCACCATCACTGGAAGCATTCAAGAAACGTGTAGACATGGCACTTCGGGACATGGTTTAGTGGGCATGGTGGTGTCAGGTTGACGGTTGAACTTGGATGATCTTAAAGGTCTTTTCCAACCTTAATGATTCTGTGACAGTAGTGGCATTTGCGTTTTTTGCCATTTTGATTTTTTTAACACAATTCACTAATACTTTGTAATATATAAATTTGTCCTTATAAAACTGAAATATTTTGTATATCTTACCAGAAAGTTAAAACTGTGCACATAATATTCCTTCATATCTTAGCCATTAATTCTGTCGACCGCTAACATTAGGAAGTGCTACCAAATGCCTTGGTAGGCTACAGTATACACAAGGGCTGTTTTCTATTGCAGTGCTCAGTGGCAGGTTTTATGCTGCTGTGCATTACATGTGGAAATATGACGAGCCATAAATGAAGGAAATTAGATTACAGTTTGCTAGCTTGTCTGCGTGCTCAATACTAACCATTATGTGGTAATGTGGCATAATTTCCTACTTCAAATCTTTGCTTTTGTAATTTTAATTGAAGGATGAAGGAGTAGTTATTTGGTTTGTAATGTTACATGTAAACGATTATCCATGAAAAATAGATACCTGATCTTCAAACAAGCATTCAGCCAGACTGATCTTGCTGTACATTGGAGAGATGTGCTGATACATGTAGAAAAGAGGTATTCCAAAGTCCATAGAAAAACCATTATTGTAGATTGCTGAAAGGCAGCTGTGTCAAGCTTTACCTGCCCTACGTTTCTTGGTGTTCTGGACCACAGGAAGCCATGAAGGACGTGAGCTCTGTCAAAATCTAAGCATTTATATGAAATAAACAGGTTCCCAAGTCTTGCTGCTTTTTCTTGCAGAACCATTGTCTCTTTACTGTCTTACATCCTCTCTGAACAGTCAAGAGATAAAATCCTCCTTTGTGTAAAACGCACAGAATTATAGAGTGGCAGAGGGATTATGTATACCACATCTCTTTTTGTAGCTATTACAAATATATGCATTATTCAGTCTTTTATGTAATAAACAAGAGAATAAAGTTTTGGGAAGAAATACTTCTAAGGGGTATCTAAGAGTGTTAAGCCATGTGTTCTGCAGCATTATGGCCACCACGGTTGTGCTCTATCTATGCATATACATGCTAATTATCATTTCTCGTGTCTTCTATCCTCATTCAGCCTTTCCGGATTTATTAATACATGAATTCTTCATGGAAGATCATAAGATTACATATAACAGTTTGGAAAAGAAAACCATTTTTAATTATACATTTGAGTTATAAGCTTAAAGCTTTTGTGTTGGAAAACTGATCTCTGCTGCATAGTCTTTTACTTTCTAAATGACCAATTTGCAAAACTTTTTGTTTAAAAAAAACCCTTTAGCTAGAACTTTGAGTAAAGTACAAAAATGTAATGCACAAACTGTGTGTTTTTATGCCTGGAAATTGTAGTAAATTGTTTTTGCAAATAATAAAACTTACATCACTTACGTTAAATGAGATTATGGTAAGATTTTCTATAGAAATTTTATCTCTAACCGTTAAAAGTGTACATACATGGTTGATTTCCCTGACTTGAATGGACTGCTACCTGTGTTAGTTACTCATTTAAGTAATTTTAAACACATGGTGTGTTTGTAGGATTCTGCTTCAGTTTTAAGTTTGACCTGTAAAAAGTAAACATCCTTGCAGTATTGCTTTTTTAACTAGGACATTATCTCTCTGTAGTATAAAAAGAAGTAGAAGTATTAATATCTTACACAGGTTAAGGGTAGATGTAACTGTGAAACTTACTAATATTTTCTTCCAGTTATTTTCCTCATATGCTGTATTAGTGCACCAGGATTATTGTAGTACTAATACCATATAACCAAATTCAGGTCTAATGCAATGATAAATGAATGGTATTTATGTTTGCAGGGAAGATGGTACCACCGGAAGCAAGCAGTAAAGGAACTGCATAGCACATTGATACGACTGCTTAATGAACTCTTACCATGGGAACCAAAGCTAATGAAAGCATTTCAAAGAAACAGGTAATTAGCTGCCTTTTTTTTAAATAGTGCATGGGATGGAAAACAGAACAAAATTCACCTTTTAAAAACTAAGCAGTAAGTTGGCTTCTCAAATTAAATAAAAATACTTTGAGGAGAGGAGTGAGACGCTGGCAGTGCTTTAGTTGGAAGAATTATTTTATGTTCCAGACTTACTGTCTCTAAATAAACTTGAGTTTAACCCCCTAATATTTTTTTCCTCTTGGGGAAATGGGGACCTTATCAATGTCTATACGTATCTGAAGGGTGGCGGTCAGGGGGATGGAGCCAGTCTCTTTTCAGCAGTGCCCAGTGATAGGGCACGGGGAAATGGGCACAAACTGTAGCACAGGAAGTTCCACTTCTTTAAAAAAACTTCTTACTGTGAGTGTGACGGAGCACTGGAACAGGCTTCCCAGAGAGGTTGTGGAGTCTCCTTCTCTGGAGACCTTCAAAGCCTGACTGGACGTGTTCCTGTGCAACCTGCCCTCAGTGACCCTGCCTTTGCAGCGGGGTTGGACCAGATGATCTTCAGAGGTCCCTTCCAGCCCCTACCATTCAGTGATTCTGTGAAATGGTCTAGAATCCTTAAGCGTGCCTGTCAATAGTTGTATCACAATCCAGCTAGGATTTGTATTGCTGTTTATTTAGATAAGAGGTGCTGAAAATCTGTATCTAAAAGAGTACACCAGGGCTTCTTAGAATACTTTGTCAGACTACTTACTCTGTAAAGGTACCTAAATTGGTTGTTAAGAATTGCTTTGTGGAGAATTCATTAAAATGTTGTTTTGAAGTCATTTGTAACCCTGTAAATTTGAAATGTGTCTGGAATGAGGTGTGTCAGAGAAATATTAGTGAAGCAGTGACTGATTTAAATCTAGTAAAGGCAAGTATTAGTAGCAGTGAAGATGCTACCCAGATTATAAATCCTGGAGAGGCTGGAAATTGACTTCATATTGTTATTGTGTCTTGAAGCTTGGTGCTGTTGTTGTCTGTTAGCCAAACCACTGTTTCTGTAGTCATACCTTAGTTTTGCCACATAGCCATTTAAAAAGCAAGTAATGATTGGAAGCTTGAACTGTTGTATCAGATGATAGGTAAATGGACCAAAGTACAAGTTTTGCTTTTTTTCTATTCCTTTCTATTCAAGTTTCTGTTCATTTTCCTTAGCTGTTCATTTCTTCATGTCTGTAGCAATTCAGACTCCTTTTGGAAATGTGGCAGATAGTAATACTATTTGAAAGGATTTCAGTTTTCAGTATATGTATATTTATATTTCAGTATATTCCAGTTCTATCTTTTATGTAAATTCTGCTGTGGAGTGGTTTGGTGCCCAGTATTAATTCTTGTTTCTTAGATGTGGTTAGCGAATACAGAAGTAGATGTGTATGCAGAGTGTGTAGAAGTATGGTATACGAGGTGTGCGTAATACGAGTAAATTTTAGTCTGGAACTGGGTGGCTGAGGTCTTGCATGTACTACATGTAGCTAGAGAAGCATGCTGTTAGAGTGGAGGATAATTTCTGAAATTAACTCATATTTCTCAGGATGTATGTTTTAGGCTGTAACCCTAGTTTATTCAGCAATACTAGCCTAGGTATTGCCATGACATAACTGTTTGGACAGACACATAGTATTGGTCTAGGGAACAGCTCCAGCTGAAAAGCAATCTTCACAAATCATGCAGCGAAGAGAGAGATGAGTGGGGGAGTCTAGATCAATGTCTTGGTCTGGTCCATTATGCAGCTGCTAGGCTGCTGTGTAGCACCAATGACAGTGGTGAAGAAATGTGTCATGTGAAAGGGAAGGAGCAATTGAGTAAAGATTGCTTATGCTGGTGTAAACAGCAGCACGACCACAAGTCTAGCTGCAGATGCCGTGTCTACAGGGTGTCTCAGCTAGCTACTAACATCTATTAATTGAATGACAGTGTTGGCCAGCTAGGTTGTCAAGGGCTGGGTAGAGCTCCTTCCTTCCTTCTGTGCAAGACCTCAGTGTGGAATAAGAGTCTGGAGTTTTCATTCCTTCCTTTTTTGTTGTCTTTATTTATTAGGAGCAGTCTTTATGATAAATATCCTTTTTTCCCCTTCTGAAAGGTCCTCTAGTCATCTTAAAATTATGACAGAGTATAATGTTGAATGGTATTTGAGTGGCAGCAAGGTTTAAAAGGAAAGGTTACTTGTGCCCACTGATCACATTTGTTCACTGGCTGCACAGCAGAAGTTCCTCAAAAGAAAAAAGGTGATTCCCATCCAGAAGTTTTAGTACAGTAGTGATCCCTAGTGTCCTTTTATAGCTCTTCTACACCTGGACTTAAAGCTCAAAGTCCTAATGACAGAGTTGAAGTATCAGCCACACTACATTTTCATACAGACTTCAAGGTTGTCTTTTCTCAATGAGAGTGTCAAAGCTGTAAGTAAACTGTTAGGTCTTACTGACCCTGACCAGTCTCACCTGAGCCTCCGTTCACATCACCTGCCCATGAGCCCAGGATTCACATTTCTGGTCATTCTGCAGCTTTCAATCTCTGCTGTAGGAATGCCAGTTTCCAGCTCAGCTATAGCAGTTACCCTGCCTGGCCATGGGTCCTGCCAATCTGAACTGACACTCAGACTGACCTTGGACGTGCGTCATCACTGTGGACCTGCCCAGAAATCACTAAACTGAGTCCTGACCCTGGCAGCCATCACCGGACCTGATCTGAACCTGTGAATTGACTTCCTAGCTTGACCTCAGACCTGTCTCAGCACCAGGAACTTGCCTGTTGATCTGGGCTCTTGGTTGAACCCAGTTATCACCCCTAGGCCTGCCCTGCTCCCTCATTTAGGAGCAGTGGGATGGTGTCCTGGCTGGTGAGGCTTATACTCTGCCAGCTGTGACATCATGCTTGTGTCTTCCCTCTCCATCCCCTAGGGAGCAGCTGCCCATTGCTGCACTCAATGCAAACAACTGTTACTTCAATGCATAAGACTGGGTAAATTTAAGATCTTACTCTACTCTTACTGTCGTAAGGGTTAGATCCGGACTAGACTCTAGATTCTATTCTACACAAGGTGCTAATTGCTATAATCTATTTATTCATTTGCTAAATAATCCTCCTGGATATTTGTGTTGATTACCACCAGCCGAATCCTGTTGTTCACTGTATTTGTACACTAAAATACCCCCTAGATCTCATTTAAACAATGGTTTAGAAGAAGGGCGATGGAAATATGTAGCAGTTCAGGAGTATCAAGGTAAGTGGATGTGTTTCTGAACAGTGTTGAAATATGTAGAGCAGCTATGTATTCCCATCATATGCATATTGTTTAGTGGAATGTGAGCCTATGGAAATGACGGTGGAAACTGTTCTAATGTCGCAGAGATGATAAAGTTTTCTTAAAGGAGAAAGTTACATTACAGCTGGGCCAAAAGCATGATGCATTTAAGAAAAACATGATTTACTTAATTCTGTACTTTGGATTGACTTCAGCAGAAGGAGTAGACTTATTACAGTTAATACTCAAGTCCATACAGGTATATTTGTCACAATGCAAGATGAAGGAAGAAACAGAAGATGGATGCTGTGAAACAGTGATGGTCATACGAGTCTTTTTGCCTGTTGTTAGAGGACTTTAATGACCTCGAATTCAGCTTTGGTGAGGGAAGGGACATTACCATCACTTCACATTTTCTGGGTTTTAGAAACTTGCAGACAGAGCTACCTTGAAATTTTTCGAGGGGCACAGGCAGTTAATTCTACACCAACTTTTTACGTGGCAGAAAATATAAATTAAAAAATGTTAAAAAGAATGTGGTTCTTTACTAAAGCTAGTTTTGCTCTTTTCAAGGTCTAGGTTGAAGAAGGACTATGATGACTTTAAAAGACATCCAGACCATGATAAATTTAACAGAGAATTGTGGAGTAATGATGAAAGTGAAGTTGATTCTGGCAAAGATTCTTTTGCACTAGTATGTGGTAAATCTTCAGAGTCTGCAGAACATGTGGAAGTTCCCCAAAAAGATCACCCAGACAATGGTAAGCATTTACTAGAATTTGATAGCTTGAACTTTATTTAGGAGCTTAATTTTTCCATATGAGCTTGTGTCCTACTTTTTACCTTAACTGCTACTGTGATAATATTTGAAATAGCTTTGTGATGCATGTCTGACAGATGTAGACTAGAAGACGGCACACATGACCAAAATGAAAATTCTGATTAATGAAAGTTTCTGCCATTTTTTTCCTTAACTATTTCTGTGATATATAGTAGGCCTGCTCAGAATTTACATTTATGGTGGGTTGACCATGGCTGGCTGCCAGATGCCCACCCAGACACTCTGTCACTGCCCTTCCTTAACAGGACAGGGAAAGAAAATAAAATGGGAAGGCTCACGGGTCAAGATACAGACAGGGAGATCACTCACCAGTTACTGTCAGAGGCAAAAGAGACTCACTTGGGGATAATTAGTGTGATGTATTGCCAATTAAAAATAGACTAGGGTGGTAAGAAACTAAAATGCCTTCCCCCCTGCCACATGTCCACGTTCTTCCCAGGCTCAGCTTCATTCCCAATTCTTCCACCTCCTCCCCAGTCAAGTGGCACAGGGAGGATGGGGATTGGGAGGTCAGGTCAGTTTATAACACTTCATCTCTGCTGTTCCTTCCTCACACTTTTGCCCTGCTCCGGTGTGGTCCCTTCCATGGTATACAGTCCTTCATGAACTGCACCAGCGTGGGTCCTCTCCACAGGCTAGAGTCCTTCAGGATAAGACTGCTCCAGTATGGGTCCCCTATAAGCCACAGTTCCTGTCAGGACCATGTTCCAGTGTGGGCTCTCCTACTGTGGAACGGGGTCCTCAACAGGCTGCAGTGTAGATACCTGCTCCAGCATGGTCCTTCATGGGAGGGGTTCAACCTGCTTCACCACGGTCTTCACAGGTTGCAGAGGAATCTATTCTAGTGCCTGGAGCACCTCTTTCCCCTCCTTCACTGACCTTGGTGATTACAGAGTTGTTTCTCCTACATTTTTTTCCTCACTCCTCTCTGTCACACTCTTTTGTGTAGCATTTTCCAGCAGCTTGGACCCCCTGCAGCCTCGCAGTGCTCACTGGCTAGTCCAGCTTGAAGTTCGCCAGTGAATACATACACACTGCCTCAATGCATACTGGATTTGGGGAAGGTACAGACACTTGCCCCCCAGCAGCTGGCACCTGGCACACAGGGTGTGACCTTCTGCCCTGTCCTTGCAGCTCCCCCTTCCTCTGTGCATCCCTTCATGGGTTTGTTTAGCTCTATGAGTTCCCTCACCCTTCCCAGCCCAGTGTCCAGGATCATTCCTGGTTTACAGTCCTATCAGTTGCAAAGTCCAGGTTTACCTTTCTGGAAGGGAAACCTGCAGTTTCTTGATAGCCCATAAATTGGTGTGATTGGTGCGGTTGTTTCTTGTCATTGTCTCCATGTTCGTTTTGTTAGCTTTGAGTCTGTGCATTTTTTTTTTTTTCTGGCTTCTGTCTTTTTACCTCCGTTTCCCAATTAACCAGGTAAATGATGACATAACACTGCTGGAATAAACATTCTCACACTCTCCTATGCCTTCATCAATTAGTGTGAATGACCAGGTTTGGTTTTCCTCACTGTCTCCCACAGGTTGTGTCCCTGTATGTTCTTGTTTACGACTTCTTCCTTTCCTTATGGCACCCTTTTTGCACTGAAAAAGGTTCTAATCGGATCTAATAATCTAATCAGATGCCCTTAAAGAAGCAGACATTCTCCTTCCACATATCCTTACACTTGCAAACTAGCATTTTGCCTTTAGCTAGGCACTGTAAAATTGTTGTATAGAGGTACCAGCTGCAAATGTGTAAAACATAGTTTCTGTTTTAATGTCCTTGCAGATGACATGAAACTATTAGAGATGAATTTACCTGCAGGAAAAAACAGAATTCTGAAAAAGGAATCTACTTCTAAAGAAATACAGAAGACACTGGCCAAATGTGTTAAACGACAGTCCAAGCAAAATAGTTGTCTGGATCAAAGCACTAATGAGCTGTCACCAAGGAAGAAAGCTAAGCTGAGCACTAATGAGGCTGTGGTCCAGAGTTCAGAAAGCAGCCTGCAGCCAAATAGTTGTTTGACTGAGCTGAAACAATTTGAAGAGTCAACTCTAGAATCCTTTTCCTTGACAGATCCTGCAACATCAGTATCAAACTTTCAGAAAGGGACCAAACCCGTCCAGGCCTTGCTTGCTAAGAATGCGGGAAACAAAGTGACCTTAACAAATCAACTGTCACCTCCCCCAGGCATAAATGTATCTACTTCTGAAAAGCCAATTTTGTCACATTTGGAATCATCACTGATAAAACCAGCATTGCCCTGCCAGACCAGTTCAAAGACTCCATTACAAATGGTATACAGAATGCCAAATGGCCACTGTGTACCAATAGATCTCCACAACAGCTCTGTGAAAATTCAAATACAACCTGCGATTGACCCTAAAACTGGTGAAAAAGTCATGCAACAAGTTCTTATTTTACCTAAGAATTTTCTTGTTCAGCAAAAGGAAGGAAAAATTGTGTCCAAGGACATTCAGTTACTACAACAAAAACCATCTGAGCTGCACTGTACAACTTTACCAGAAATATCAAATGTCAGTGTTTCTTTAACACCTCTTCTAGTCACAGGCCCTGCAAATGCTACCACTCCATCACCTAGTACAGTTCTAAACAAGACTATTACCCAGTTGTCAAAAGTGACTGGTCCCATGAACACTACACAACCGCTGCCTTCTGTAACTTCAGCAGGTAACTTATTATCATCAACAGTTAAGGTGAGCCAAACTGAAACCGAGAAAATCAAGACTACAGTTTCAACTGCCACATTCCCTGTGTCTTTGACTTCAGCTACTCTTTCCACAGCTAGCCAGTCTGTGGTATCAGCAACAGCATTAAGTGGGTCTACAAACACTGCTTCTGCCTGCCATAGTCTTGCATCACAGCAGACAACTGACTTCTTTGAAACTAGGCAAGAGCTGAAGACAGTGTGTATAAGAGAATCACAGTCTATTCTGGTCACAACACGAGGTGGAAACACGGGAATTGTTAAAGTGCAAACAAACCCAGACCAGATTTCACCTAGCAGTTTATCTTCTAGTTCAGTTTTCACTTACACACCTCCACTTCAGGCCTTTTTTGTGCCAAAAACCACAGCATTATCATGCTCTTCTCCTCCATCTGTAGCAACAGCCACATCTGGTCTCCCACATATTGGACAACCGTCTCTTTCTGGGTTTGTCCCCTCAACATCATCTTCTGTTAACATTCCAGTTTTCCCAGCTGATTTTACCCAGGCAATGGAGAAGAATATCAAATTCACATTACAGGAGCCTGCTGTTGGGGGTACTTTGGGTCAAGTAATGGAGAACTCCTGCTATGTGTCCTCTCCTCCTTTATCCTCTATTTCATTAGCTAGCAATTTGATGTCAGCAACTCCAAACAGTCCTGTTGGTGTGACTAGCATTGGACAAAATAACACTGTCATAACTCCCAATTCTTCTGTGCAGCAACAAGGTAATACTAAAATTAAAACAAATCGTGTTATACAGTCTGAGCCTAATTCAGCAACAAATGGAGATTTAATCAGTTTTACTCCAGTCCAGAAACTTACATTAGTCACAAATCCACCTATTTTATCACCCTGCGGCACATCAGGAGTCAGTATTGTACCATCTCCAGCATCCACTGGTATTAATGCTCAGAAGGTGGTTTTCATTAACACACAAATTGCTAATGGTCCGTCAACCACCAATCTAGTTGCAGAGTCATTGAATCATAACCTTCCTTCTTCCCTAAGCAAAACCTTTGTTAGTGCCACAGAGCAACCACAGTTGGTTCTGATCCCATCTACAGTAAGAGCACCAATAAGAATAAATTCATCACCAGCTATTGCTCAAGTAAAAGATGTGAAAATTGGACTAAATATAGGTCAAACCATTGTAAATACTAAAGGCAATGCACAACAGGCTCCACCAGTTATATTGCACTCTGCCATTTCTAAGGGAGAAGACAAAAAGAGTATGGGCTTGGCGCTGTCTTTGACAAGAAGTGGTACGTTGGTTCCTGTTGCAAGTTGTGTAACTCAAAGTGCTGCATCAGTTAATGAATGTGTATGTGTTGCAACAAAAGCCGAAAATGCCTTTACAGTAACAACAGCAAATGCATGTGTAGAATCTGTTTCAGTAACATCAAGTGGGATGACTTCTGGGACACGGCCCACTGTCTTGATTGGTGGAAATGATCCCTCAAGAATAAGGCCAGTTCTGGGTAATCAACTGTGTACGTCAAATATTGGAAATACTGTGGGTATATCAACTGTGAAAACAGGACATCTTGCTTCCTCTGTGCTGATTTCAACAACACAACCAACAGTATCTCCTCAAAATTTAGCATCTGCTTTGCAATTCCCACTCATTAGCTTACCTGGATCTGTAGCGACCCCCCACAAAGTGTTACATACAATTCCTCAGTTGGCAGCAGTTCCAGTTCCTCCTCCAGTACCAAAAAGCCAGTTGCCCACACTGCTTCAGTTTCAGTCATCAGGAGTTTCAGCTTCTATGCCAAGTAATGCAGGCCTTCACAATCCTCAGAGTGTGTTGCCCCCTCCATCACCAAATACAGGTGAAGTCACTAGTTTTCCCAATTTTTCTTCCCTACAATGCCAGCAGGTGCCTCCCAGTACAGAGAAACAAAGTCAAGCTTACACTTGTGCTTCTACCATTCAGATGTCTGCAGCTTCACCAACTTCAACAAGCAAGGCAGGAGGTCAGTTGAATGAACCTTGCATTCAACAGAAAATAGTCATTAACACCTGTATGCCTTTGGCACCTGGAACTCAGATAATGATTAATGGTACTTGTTTTGTTGTTCCACCACAAGGCCTTGGAGCTGGCAGCCATGTTGTTGTTCTCTCTTGTAATACAAAACAGACTTCTCCTTTAACTGTGAACCATGGTCAAGAGGCTCAAGGTGTGCCAGTCGTTAACCCAATAACCTCAAAAATCATGCTAGCACCAAGTAACTCATCAAGTTGTCAAATATCAAAACATCCCTTGAAAAGCTCTACAAAAATTGTGGACTCTTTTGGGTCTGCACATACTTTACCCATCATACATGCAACACCCCAGATACTTAATACTCCAGCTAGCTCATGTACTCCACTGTCTGCAGTGACACTGTCTGTGTCTTCAGTGATAAAATCTCCTGTCAATGCTGTCGCTACATCTTCTGTGGTTTCTGCTGTTCATCCTCCGAACTCTTATTTACCAAGCAGCGCTTCCATGTTTCACTTAGACACTTCTATCAAAAAATTGTTGGTCAGTCCAGAAGGAGCCATTTTGAATGCTATAAATAATCCAGCATCAAAAGCTTCTTCCCTGTCTTCATCACTGCCTCCTGTTGTTGTGTCCACAAGCAGGAATCCTACCACTGTCGTCTCTGCATCACAGTCATCTTGCCTTGATAAATCTGACAAAGCTGCATCCTGATTTTACCATAAATGAGCCACTTGGAAATTTTGGGGCATTCATCTTCTCAAAAACAGTTTTGAAGTTGTAACTATTGAATAATTTCTTACATTGTTTGAAACAGTTGATTTACTCAAAATTATTTAAGATTACAATTCGTTTCTGTTCACCTGTGAAGTTTAGGAGGAAGAAAAATTTAGCTTGTCAGCAGTTTTCAGAGAGTTCTTTAGTAAGAAGGTCAGAAATTACTAATGAGCTCATTAAAAACTTTAAGTTTGGAGAAATCTAGCCTTTTGCACATGTTCCATCTTAACAGTATGGGCTGTTTGCCAGTGTGTTTATGACAGTATATATATCCTTTTTATTTGTGAAATTTATTTTTGATTTGTTTCTGTAAAAAAAATATATTTATGCATTGTAAATATGCAGCCTATGGTATAGAATTGTACATATTCATGAATTCCTAACAATCTTTACTAAACTATATGTACAAAGAACTATGCTGTCTTATTTATGTTTTGTTTACATAATGTATAGTTTTTTAAGTATTTTAGTAACTTTGGACCAGTGTACTGTTTAGCAACAATGCAGAAGAATCTGCATATAATAAATCAAGTTGCTGTATGCCTTTGTCTTGGCAATAGTTTAAAAATGTGTATATCTGTTACACCATGGCAGGGTACATATATCTACATCTTTCTACTTAATGCAGATGCACCTCAGCTTTTGGAATACTGTAGAATGAAATTGTTTAATCTTTTCTGCTCTTTTTGTAGTTTGCATTTCAGATGATTTGATAGGAGTTGGAAAGAAGGCCATTTTGTTGATCCTCCTGATACAGAGTGGGATAATCCATACTTCATCCATTCTTAGTAAATGTTTGGTTATATTGCCTAAACTGTCCAGTGATGTGGTAGTGGTTTCCCAGGCACCGATCTAAGTCACCCTGGCTGCTGTTCAGGACTACCATGTTTTGTTATAAAGCTCATAGATCTGTTGAATGTTATTCTCTTTTTTTACAGCCTTGTCTGCATTTCCACGTCTGGTAACTGCAACAAGGTCACTCTTTAATCTTCTGTCTAGCCATAAAAAGCTACCCATTTTTTTCACCAGTCATGCTTTCTAGGTATGTTTTTTTTTCTTTAAATTTTAATTGGTCTATCTGGAAGGATAGTGCTAAAACATCATGCAGTATTAAAGGAGGCCTTATTAGTACTTTGAGTGGGAATAATTCACATATTACATAAACCTTCCCTTTTTATGCAGTGTATTGAATATTTGTTGTCTGAGGTTCAGCTTTTCATCTGATAAAACCCTTGTGTTATTTTCTGCTGAGTTCATAGGTGCCTGCTGCAGTGTTCATGGAAATAGAAAAATTTTTTGGTATCTTTTGAGACTAGAATGGGTGCCCATCTAGCAGCTCTTATTTTACGGGGGATGATGATTTTAGAACTGCTATTTTAAAATCTGAAGTCATAGTCTCTGTTAGTTGCTTGGAAGATGCACTCTTAGGCTGAATATCTTTGTATATGTGGGATTTTTTCGGGTTTTTTTAGAAACTAGAAGGGAAGATTTCAGAAGAAATCATGAATATTATTTGCTTTTTTAATAACTATGACTTCAAAGGGGGATAATAGCCTACATATCTGTATTTAGCAGCATTCTTAGACTGTTTTTATTGAGATGAAGCTCAAGCTTTTGC